ATTAATGTCCTCTAGATTTTGGCGCGGGCGGTGGCGCGGGCGGTTAAGCGGCAGGCAAAAGCGGCGCAAGGAGCTAGTGTATATGAAGAAGAAGAGTATCTTTTGGCTTTAATTCTAAGAGAAAATGTAATGAAAGAACAAGAATGCAAAGAAAAACTAAAGGAATATTGTCAAAGATTGAGAAATATAACTCAGGAATTAAATATAATGGGTCCAAAATTAAAAGAAATATGTAAGGATGATACAACAGCAGAAGCAAAATGCACAAAGTTGGAAACCAAAGTTAAAGAAAAGTGTACTACATTTGAAACAAAATTAGGAATAGCAGCCAAAAAAGATGTTTCAACATTAGAAGATAATGATTGTAAAGAGAATGAACGACAATGCCTATTTTTGGAGGGAGCATGTCCTAGTGATCTTACAGAGAATTGCAACAAACTAAGGAATCTATGTTACCAGAGAAAACGTGACGGAGTAGCAGAAGAAGTCCTTTTGAGGGCATTCCGTGGGGATTTGAAGGACAAATCTGGATGCGAAAAGAAAATCAAAAATGTTTGCTTAAAAATAGGTCAAGAAAGTGATGAGTTGACAAAGCTTTGTCTTTACCAGAAAGAAACATGCGATACTCTTATGACTAAAAAACAAAATAAATGTGATTTTCTCAAAACAAAAATTGAAGAATTACTAAAAAAAAAAGGATTCAAAACGAAATGTCCAGTATTACTTAGAGAGTGTCACTTTTACGAGGAAACGTGTACAGATAAGCTAAAATGTAAAGAGCTTGTGAATAATTGTAAAGAAAAGAACGTTGTCTATACGGAGCCAGGATCAAATTTTGAGCCTATAAGACCAGGAATTACATTGGCAGAAGAAATAGAATTGGAAGAGCTTTATAAAGAGGCAGCAAAGAAGGGAGTTCGTATTGGAAGACCGCCTACAAGAGATGCAACTGAACTTTTATTTTTACTAAGTCAAAGCGGTACTAAATCTACGGTTGCAGAAAAATGTAAAGAAGTGCTTGATAAAAAGTGCAAGGACCTTAAAGAACATAAATTTTTAAAAGATTTATGTGAAAAAGATAAAATAAATGAAGACGGAAAGAAAAAGTGTAATGAATTAGATAAGGAATTAGCGACCCGTGCTTCGATTGTTTCTAAAGAGATTGAAAAATATCTTGACATAGCTAATGGGAAGGAAATTATTAGTTGGCATGTATTGCATACATTTCTTAGTGAAAGAAAGTGCACGAAACTATTGTCAGATTGTTTTTATTTTACTCAAGATAAAGGTCCTCTTAATAAAGAATGTGATAATTTAAAGGCAGCATGTTATAAAAAAGGGCTTGAAGCACCAGCAAATGAAGCATTACAAGATAAGTTACGGGGAAAATTGCAAGGTTTGAATGAAACATGGCTTAAGAATCTTCGAAAAAACTTGATAAAAGTCTGTGAAAAGATGAAAGGAGAAAGTGATGAATTATTTGTACTATGTATGAACCCAATAAAAACGGCTCTTACAGTGTCAACAGATTTGCGATTGAGGGCAGTTGCTTTGCAGGAACATTTGAACGAGAAACGAGATTTTCCAACGAAAAAGGATTGTAAAGAATTAGAAGAAAAATGTGAGGTCTTAGGAAAAGATTCAAAAGAAATTAAATGGTCATGTTATACGTTAAAACAGCATTGCAATCGACTGGAGAGCATAGAGCAGTTAGAAGAGGAGTTGTTAAAAGAAAATAAAGGATATCTAAAAGATGAAAATAGCTGTAAAGAAGAAGCTAAGAAACGATGTGAAAAATGGTTTAGAAGAGAAAATAGTAAATTTTTTCCGGCATGTTCTGACTTGGAGCTTGTTTGCAAAAAGATCATTAGAAATGTTGAATCTAAATGTAATATATTGAAAGGATATATGGAGACTATGAAAATTGTAGATAAAATAGAGAATAAAGAGGAAGAAGTATGTGGATTATGGGCACCATATTGCAAAAAATTCACTCCAAGTTGTACTGAGCTTGAAGAAAATGGAGGAAAAGGATGTAAAAAACTTAATAAGAAATGTGAATCATTCTTTAAAAAGAAGGAATTAGAAAATAAAGCGATTGATGGATTAAAGGGTAATCTAGCAACGAACGAAGAATGCAAGGAGACCCTTAAGAAATACTGTGTAGCCTTGACTAATGCAACCAATGGGCTTGAAACTCTTTGCAAAAGCAATGAAGCTAATAAGAAAGATGAGGATGTAAGGAAAGAAGTTTGCGAAAAACTTGTTAAACAAGTTCAAGAAAAATGCTTAAAATTACAAGAAGAACTCACTGAGATCAGTGAAAAACTAAAAGAGAAAGGAAAAAACTATGAAAAGATTAAAAAAGAAGCTGAAGAAGCAATGAAAGAGGCAAACCTTGTTTTATCGAGATTAGAAACAACAAACAAGAAATCGGCCAATAATGCTGTAAATAATGCATCAGTTGCGCCTAAGGAGACAAAAGATGCAACACAGTTTAAGCTTATAAGAAGAAATACAAACACTCAAGTGACTAAAAAAGAGTTAGAGGCATTTGATTTAGTAGCAAGAGCATTTGATCTCTATGTAGAATTAAAGGAAATATGTGATCATTCACTGAAGGATTGTGGTTTCAAAAAAGAGTGTAAATGTGAGAATCCATGTGGAAAAATACAAGAAGTATGTTCGAAATTAGAACCACTGAAAGTAAAACCATACGAAACAACAACTAAAAACATAACAACTACAACTACAACTACGACAACAACAACCGTTACAGATCCAAAAGCAACAGACTGCCAATCTCTGCAAACGACAGACACATGGGTCACAAAGACGTCGACACACACCAGCACCTCTACGACTACGTCCACAGTTACGTCAAGAATAACACTGACCTCGACGAGGCGGTGTAAGCCTACGAAGTGCACGACAGGAGAGGAGGATGAAGCAGGGGAAGTGAAGCCGAGTGAGGGGCTGAGGATGAGTGGGTGGAGTGTGATGAGGGGGGTGCTAGTGGTAATGATGATTTCATTCATGATTTAGATGTAAAATGGGAATGGGATATAAGAGCAGCATGTATATTTACTAGATGAATGAGGATAGGGCAGGAAAGAGTAGACCATGATCTCTTCAACATCAATTGAAAGTGCATTACACATAAAGTAGCGTGTTCCCTGTGCAAATAGCCTGTATTGCCCGGATGGGTGGCCGCTGTTTGTTGTGCCATGTCGTTATCAGCGCATTCAGCGCCTACCCCGGATTTGCCCCACATGGAGTCGAGGTGAGATGCAGTGATGGAGAGATGATGGGATAGGACAATGGGGGGAGTGGAGTTGGGTGGGCGGTGTTTGTATGTAGCGTTGAGGTTGATGAGCAGAGTTAAAGTTTGTGAAACTTGATATAGGCGTTGACAGGGCGTTGACAGAAGCGTTGACAGAAGCGTTGACAGAAGCGTTGACAGAAGCGTTGACAGAGGCGTAGATATAAGAATTGATATAAGAATTGATAGAAATTAGTGTTTAGAAAGATTTCCATAGTATATTTAAGCATTGTTTTGAAATAAAATCAAAATTAGAGTCAAAGAGAAGAATTTTTTGAGAGATCAAGATGAACTGTAGATATTGAATTTGAGAGCCACTGAAAAAAATGAATGAAAGGGAAAGAGTCAGAGGGGGGCGAGAAGGGGAGGGCCATCAAAGACGAAACGAATGGTTTAAGGTGGGGGAAGATGAATTTTTTTAAAAAAGTAAGAGTGAGTGATGAGCTGGGAGGAAGAAAAGTGAGTGGATAAAAAAAAAGAAAAAAACAAGAGAGAAGCGTTTAGAGGAGTAGAAAGAGTGTTTAGAGTGAAGGTGAGGCGTAGTGAAGGTGTTTTTGTAAATTTAGTGAAAGTGGGCACGGGGTGGACAGATGTAAATAAATGAATCATCAAGAAAGATTGAGTGAGAAATAGAAAGAATAGAATGTAAAGGAGTGAATGTGCATAAGAATAGCGGGGAAAAATGATGGGGAAAGAGAGAGGGAAAATTATTTTTTTTTGTTAAAGTAAATGAAAGGATTTAATATGATTAAAGCATAGAAAAAATAATAAAATGGAAAATATGAAAAATACATGAAAAGAAGAAAAAACGCCCACTGAATCTAAGAGGAGAGGAGAGTCAGGAAAAATCATTTTTTCTTTATAAAACACGCTAGATAGGGAGGAAGTTGAGTAGAGCTGGAGTCGAGGGAAGAGAGAGGGTGGTGAATAAAAAACAACAGTGCCATAGGAGAGAGCACAAAGGAAGAGGATAGATTGAAAGGAGGAAGGGGGAGAAAAAGGATGGCCTTTTTATATAAATTTATTTAGACAAAAGTAGGTGGAGGAAACAAATCAGAGTTAAAGTCGAGGGGAGAGAGGGTGGTAGATAAAAAACAAGAACAAGAAGAAAGAGCAAGCAGGAGTAAATATTAGATTTAGAAGAAGGAGGAGGGAGAAAAAAGATGGATTTCTTGCATAGATAAAAATAGGTGAGAGGGAATTGATAGCAAGTGAAGTCGAGGGGAGGGAGAAGAGTGATGGACAAAAGGTGGATAAAAAAACAGGAACAGAGGGAGAAAACAGGGGAGCAAAAACAATAGAATAAAATGAGGAGAAGCAGTACAAAGAAAGGAAGAATCAAGGAGGTGGAGGGCGGGGTGAGGGAATAAAGATAGAGAAGGGACAGGGGACAGGGGAGGAGGAGGGCACGGGACAGCCGGGGAGGGTTACGGACAGCCGGTGGGGTATAAATTGGGAGGAGAGAGGGGGGAGGGTGGGTGGGTCCTCTTTGCAAGAAAAACCAAAAAAAAGAGGGTTCAAGAGAGGGGGTTAGGAGGGGGTTTAAGATGAGATTTAAGCCCGGATTTAGGGGAGGTTTAGGGTGAGATTTGGAGCACAGAGGAGGGTTTATTTGTTTTCAGGCCCGGACCTCAGCGAGGCTTCAAAGTGCAGTTTAAAAGGCGGAAAAACGGAGTTAAAATGAGGGTTATTTTGATTGAAATTGGAGGGTCATTAAGAGGGTGTTTTTAGGAGAATTTCAAGCAGAATGTTAGCAGAGTAGCAGGAAACGAGGGTTTAACAAAGGTGATGAGGGTTTAGCAGAAGAGGGGAGGGTTTAGAGGGGAAGAGGAGGGTTGGGTAAAAAAGGGGGAGGTTGTTTCCATGGCAACGAAATTGGCCAATAGGATTTGAGTGGGGTTTGAGTGGGGTTTGAATGGGGTTTAGATAGGGTTTAGATAGGGTTAAAAGGAGAATAGAATTTGTTTTGTAAAAGAATTGCAAAAATTGCATTTAAGCACGCGGTGAAGTAGTCATAGGCAGGTCAGGGTCACGTGACCAACACGTGAAAGTCACGTGAAACGAAGAAATTTGGGTGGGGTAAGGCCAGGGTTAGAGTAGGGGAGCAGAAGGTGTTGCTTAGATGGGGGAAAAGAGAATGGACTTTGTTTAAGCAGGGTAGGGAAAAGAGTGCACCGTTTAACCAGATAAAAGCACGGGAAAGACAATTTAAGAAGTTTGAGGGGGAAACGCAGTGTGGAGTGCTGGTAGGGGAGGTCAGGATCACGTGAACATCACGTGATACAGCCAAAATTTGAGTGGGGTAAAGCCAGGAATTGGAGAGAGGCAGTGCAAGGTGTTGTTTGAAGAGGGGGTAACGAATGAGTTTTGTTGAAAGAGAAAACGACTCAAAAAGTTGAGTTTAAACAGATGAAAGTGTAGGAGGGGCAATTTGAACAATTTGGGGGAAGGAGATGCAGTGTGAAGTCGTCGTAGGCAGGTCAAAGTCACGTGACCATCACGTGAACAGTTGAAATTTGAGTGGGGTAAGGTCAGGGGTTTAAGTAGAGTACTATCAAGTGTTACTTAAACGGGAAGCAACGAATGGACATTGTTTAGGCAAAAAGAAAAGTAAAAAGTCACGTTTAAGCTGAAGGACGCGTAGGAGTGTCTGTTTAAACAGTTGGGAGAGGGAAACACAATGTAAAGTAGTCGTAGGGAAGGTCAAGGTCACGTGACCATCACGTGAAAGACACGTGAGATCGTTAAAATTTGAGTGGGGTAAAGTCAGGGGTTTAAGCAGGGGAGCATGAAGTGTTGCTTAAGCAGGAGGTGGCCATTGAACAAAGTCCAGGCAGAGAGCGACTCAAAGAGTTTAGTTTAGTTAGATGAAAGCGTAGGATAGGCAGTTTGAAGAATTGGGGGAAAGAAACGCAGTGTGAAATAGTCGTAGGGAGGTCAAGGTCACGTGACCATCACGTGAAAGACACGTGACAAGGAAGAAATTTAAGTGGGGTAAAGCCAAGAGTTTAAGTAAAGTAACACAAAGCGTTACTTGGAGAGGGAGTGAGCATTGAACTTTGTTTAAGGAAGGAGGGAGTTAAGAAGTCATGTTTGACTAGAGGGAAGCGTAGGAAAGCAAGTTTTAAAGAATTTCTAGAGGAAGTGCAGTATGAAGTATTGGTAGGGAAGGTGCAGTGTGAAGTATTGGTAAGGGAAGTGGAGTGTAGAGTAGTCGTAGGGGAAGTCAAAGTCACGTGACCACATGTGATATACACGTGACAGGATGAAATTTAAGTGGGGTAAAGGCAGATTTAGAGTGAGGGAGTACAAAGCGTTGCTTGGATAGGAAAAAGAGAATGGAGTTTGTTCAAGCAAAGGACGACTCAAAAAGGCGAGTTTAGTCGGATGAAAGAGTGGGAGGGGCAGTTTGAAGAGTTTGAGTAAGGAAACGCAATGTAGAGTAGTTGTAGGAGAGGTCGAGATCACGTGACCATCACGTGACACTGAAATTTAAGTGGGGTGAAGGCAAGTCAATTTAATGGAATTAATGTAGAATTTTGGGGTTGAAACGAGTGGTTTTAACAGTGTTTTGGTGGAGTTGTTTTAGTTAATGATTTGAAATGGTTTTGATGAAGTTTAAGTGAAGTTTGAGTGGAGTCGTTTTGAAGTTGATGGAGTCGTGTTTTTTAGCGTTTAAAGGTTGAGCTGAGTGATTTTACTGAGTTGTTTAGTGAAGTTATTTGAGTGGGGTCGTGTTGAGGTAGTTTGAGTGAAGTTTGAGTTAAGTTTGAGTGAAGTTGTTTTGAAGTTTGTCAAGTCGCGTTTTTAGAGTTTGAAGGTTGTGTTGACTCGTTTTAATAGAGTTGTTTAGTGGGATTGTTTGAGTGAGGTTGTTGAGTTGTTGGGGTGATCGATTTGAAGGAGTCGATAGAAGCACTCTGAGATTAGGGTTAGGGTTAGGGTTAGGGTTAGGGTTAGGGTTAGGGTTAGGGTTAGGGTTAGGGTTAGGGTTAGGGTTAGGGTTAGGGTTAGGGTT